GGACGACAACGGAGGAGTTGTATGTATTGTTGAGAATTAAATAAAGTTTCATAAGTTACCAGCAAATTTTCCATTCCATGAACTAAACCAGAATACTTTCTTTTCTTTTTCTTATATTTATTGTTTGATTTTGAAAAATGTTTCCTGTTATTCAAGTAATGTGTTTGAGACTTGAATACGAAACTGTCACAGGAAAGTTTTACTTTCTTACTAATAGTTGCATTTCAACAACTACAGTCTTCAGCATTCAACCATGAATCCAATGTTGCATAAGCCTAACTGAAACAAGTTAGTTTGGACTTTGGATTACACCTCTGTAAAGACCTTATTGACAAATTTTCTTTCATTGTCATCTGAGACCCTGTAAGAAGTTGTTTTAGCTGCATGATTTTTGGACTTCTGTTTTTGTGCTTTAATTGTTTAACAATCTGTATGAACTAGTGTTGCATAGTTTGTCAATGTATTTTATGTCGTGAAGATTTTGGGACCTATGAAGTGTAGGTATCCATTATTTATTTGCAGAATTGTGAGTGTATATGATTGTTGTACTTCTATATGGAGCTTCAGTCGTTTAACAGTCTGTACAGGGTAGGGTTGCATAATGTATTAATGGAATCTTCTCTTGTGAAGTTTTTTAGACTTATGAAGAATTGGTAATCAATTATTGATTTGCAGAATCGGTGTGTGAATATGATCGCCCACCTATTTAATGCTCCAGTTGGAGATGATGAGACTGCAATTGGTGTTGGGACTGTGGGTTCATCTGAGGCAATAATGCTGGCTGGTTTAGCTTTCAAAAGGAAGTGGCAGCAGAGGAGAAAAGCACAAGGAAAACCTTATGATAAGCCCAACATAGTCACTGGAGCTAATGTGCAGGTAAATTTCAGATTGTACATAATACTTCTTGCTGTCAATCTCCAAGTGTATCCATTTTCATCTAATTATCATGTGGGCATTTAAGTCATATTACTGATATCTATCCAAAGATTTTTTTGCATTTTGTGGTGTTATAGTGTCATGAATGAACAGAGTTGATGTTCTGCCGCAATAGCGAGTGGCATTTTTAGCTTGAGGAGTTGCCCAAACCAAAATTTGCTCCCAAGATGGTTAATATGAAGGGTTTTATTAACTTGTTGAAATTTAACGCCAGAGTTTAAGAGAGCTGAAATTTTTTTTATTAGGTTTTTCTAGTTTCTAATACTCATTGCTCTAGGGCCAAGACATCTCCATTCCAAGGAACTACACTACATCTCCATTTATTTCAGCAGGTTCTGTTTTCCATAGTAGCAATGCTTATTTATAATGATATCAGCTCAGGTTTAGGTCTGTTAGTGATGTGATGCTTAATGCTGCTGGCTAAATTTATTCAGGTTTGCTGGGAGAAGTTTGCAAGATACTTTGAGGTTGAACTGAAGGAGGTGAAGCTGAGAGAGGAATACTATATCATGGACCCAGTGCAAGCTGTTGAGTTGGTAGATGAGAACACCATTTGTGTTGCAGCCATTCTGGGATCAACCCTGACCGGGGAGTTTGAGAACGTGAAGCTTCTTAATGAACTTCTGACGAAAAAGAATGAGGAGACTGGCTGGGAGACTCCAATTCATGTTGATGCTGCCAGCGGAGGATTTATTGCTCCTTTCCTATACCCAGAACTTGAATGGGATTTCCGTTTGCCCCTGGTGAAGAGCATCAATGTCAGCGGCCACAAGTATGGCCTTGTCTATGCTGGCGTTGGCTGGGTTGTCTGGAGGACCAAAGATGACCTACCAGAAGAACTCATCTTTCATATCAACTATCTTGGAACTGATCAACCCACTTTTACCCTCAACTTCTCCAAAGGTAATTCGGATTCACTTTTTCCAATTAATCATTCTTTCTCTAGCAAAATGAGTTGTAGTTTTGAGGTTTAATCTCTTTTAATGTTAACAATTTTTTACTTCTCTCATCAAATATGTTTTCCGATATGGCAGGCTCTAGTCAAATAATTGCTCAATATTACCAGTTTATACGGCTTGGCTTTGAGGTAATTCATGCTTATTTAAAAGGAACAAATTCTCTTGTTTAATTCATCATAAATGCAATTGTCTTCCTAATTTCCCTAAAAGTGATAAATTTAAAGTCTAGATGATGTTGTAACCAAGCGGTAAGATGATTTGCATTAGGATCAAGTGGTGACTTCAATTTGTTAATTGGGAATAAAAAATTTCTATTATGACAATTAACTATTTCTCTAACGTAATATACAGTTTAGCATTTCGCCAGAAAGAATTTACTACTTATTCTTTTTTCCAAAATCTTAAGCTCATTCTTTTAAATGTTCCCTAAACAAGGGCTACAAGCACATCATGGAAAACTGCATGGAGAGTACAAGAGTGCTGAGAGAAGGACTTGAAAAAATGGGGCGGTTTAATATTGTCTCCAAGGATGTTGGAGTTCCTCTGGTGGCCTTTTCTTTAAAGGACAGCAGTAAACACACCGTGTTCGAGGTATCCGAGAACTTGAGAAGGTTTGGATGGATAATTCCGGCCTACACAATGCCTCCTAATGCTGAGAAAATCGCGGTTCTTCGAGTGGTGGTAAGGGAGGATTTCAGCCGAAACTTGGCCGAGAGACTTCTCTCAAACATTGAGCAAGTCTTGAAGGAAATCGACACACTCCCAAGTCGCTTATCGACCAAAGCTGCACATGTTACTGCCACGATCAACGAAACTCAAGATGGGAAGCTTCCAAAAAAGAGTGAGACAGAGACTCTAGAGGAGGTCACCAGGCAATGGAAGAGGTTTGTGGATGGCAGAAGAACTGGAGCTTGCTGAACTTGTAAAACTTGCCTTACGGGGCCTTCGAATTGCTGGTTGTATTTTCTTGTGTGATTGTCTGTACTGTACTCTATGATGCTTCTGCCACACTTTTGAAGTAACTAAAGGTTGTTTGCTTGCCTATTTGGAGAAGGGTTAGCTCCTATATATCTCTTATAGGAAGCATCAAAAGTATAATAAGTTTTATGCATGTATTTTGTTCTCCATACTTAAGAGCAATTACAAAACAATATTAAGTTATGACAAACACAATTTTGTATTTTTTATTAAATACAGATAAAATGATGGTGCATGACATGTAAATACAAAAGTATTGTCACACACTGACTTAGAGGTGGGCAGGTTCGGGTAATTACCCAAATCCCATGGAACCGGAACTAGCTTGTTTTTGGGATTTGGAATCGGAACCAGCGGGTTTCGATTCGTAAAAGTTGGAATTGGAACTTGAAACAAAGGTTTGGGTTTGGGGGTAAGTATTTGTAAAAATTCTTTACCCCCTACTATCCACAAACATGACAAATATAAGCCCAAAAAATTACAGTACACCCCCAAAAGTTTATAAAAATTCTAGTTTAGTCTCAATTTCGGTTCTGATTTTGGTTCTCATAGTGAAGGAACCGGAATCGAAATCAAACAGAATTAGTTTTGGTTTTTGCAGTGATAAAATCAGAATCAGAACTGCATAATACTAGTTTTGATTTTTTAGAATTAAAACCGAAATCATAGGTACTCGTTGGTTTCGGTTCTACCCTAATTTTTTGCCCATCCCTACTCACTGTACATATAACCTTATTAGTACATTTAATATATCGAAACTATAACTCAAATACTATAAACAAATCAATTTAAATTAAGGAGTTCATGATTTTATTGTACTAATGATTTACTTTATAATTATAGGGGACTCTTTCGGAATTTTTCAAACAATGGGGATATATTTTAGTAGAATCACTTAAGAGGCTTCATATGATTATCCATTTTACTAAAGTCTTAAATCTTTTCAATTTACCCCCAAAAGAGTTTTTCGCACTGTGTCGTCTTCAGCGTAAAGCAGGCAGCCACGCTTCAAGTGAGTAACCCTTCTCCTTCCTCTCCTTCAGCGCCATTAAAACTTGCTTTACCGATTCATTTCAATCAATACAAGTATTCTCACTCTCAAACCAGCTTTTAATTTCATATTTTGCCTAATGAGGAGGCTTTTCCCATATTTATTTTCTGCAAAGAAGATCCAATTTTTATCCTCCTCAAGCTACGCAAACGTTGGAGCACTTATTGAGAATCCAATATTTAATGCTTCATCTTGTA